GGGGGGGAATAGAGAGAAAATTGTGAACATACAGGATATAGACAGGATATCTTATCCTGAAATAAAAGATTAAAACTGTGCAACAATTTGAAAGAGTGATTGTTTGCCCCTCAAACTCCTTAAAATATAAAAAAAAAAATTCAAATTGAGATGTGGAGAGCTAAGGAGGGGGGGGGGGGGGGGTAAATGGGAAGGAAGTAAACAATTTCTTGCTTTTCGGTGGACCACAGCCAAACTGCCCTCAACATGCATTACAAAAAACAGAAAACCCAGCTGCCACTGCATTACAATGCACAAGAAGCATGCATAGTAGTATGCCTCGGCCGTGCCTCGTCGTATTAGCCGGAAACAATGAAAGATTTCCCCTCATTTCCCCCCGACTTTCCCCCTCGCGTTTGGCACTGAGTCATCGCCAGTGGCCTACAGTACGTCCTGACTCACCCTACCATTGTGTACACACGCAGGCATCATCGATGATCTCTTCGTGAATAACACACATTTTCTACATTACAAATACATGTACAACTGTATGTACTTGCACTACGCAATAGTATGCAAGTAGAAGGCTGCATATTTGAGGTTTGTGAGACACAAAAGTGTTACATCAGTTATTGATGAATGGCAGTCTTAACTTGGAAACAAAACTATAAACTGATAAAGATAGACACGATTTATGATTTCACAGGCATTTTCAAAAGGTTGATTTAATTTGTTTTGTTCCTGAATGTTTTCTTGGTATTTAAATTTACATGTATTCCTTATCTTTTCAATATATAGTATACAATATGATTGATAAAGGGCCCCATGGTTTGAATTTCCTGTTTCGTTTTGAAGTGAATAGAACTGAATTTCTTACTAACAAAAGCTGTACAACCACAACAAACTTTTCATGTAATATTCAAGTACTGAATACTGAATACAATACTTAATTATGCAGAATGTTGTCCATACATGTACAGTGCATACAAGATAAGATGATATTTCTAGATTTCTGTTTTTAAAAATTGGCACAAGTGTTATAATAGGGGAAAGACTTCTTTAGACCTTTATGGCTGGATGTTAATATCAAACGACATCCATTTCAAGGTTATGGTTAAAATTCTTTTTCATTTTCTGTTAACTGAGCTTTTCACATGTCGACACGCGCACTAATACTGTTATACCACATGTCCATGTGCCCAACTTTTAGCCTGAAGTGCAATACGGTTTTTTCTTCCATATTTTGTAAAGGCTGACATTTCAACATACCTACATGTGTAAATGTAATGCATGAACTTGAAATTTGTACTGTGCTGTAATCTGGTGTCATGTTAACTATTTGTGAATAATCATTGGACTCTGGTCTTCGTAGAGAATGAAATTGATAAAGAATGAAAGGCCTTTGTTCTCAAAATCTCAACTATTCATACCCAATATGGTATTGCTTCTATTCATAAGTAGAAACAGAAATACATGATCAACATGTTCCTGAACCCATTCTCTGATCCACCTTTGTTCATCAAATTGGCAACACTAGTATTGTTTACTGCCACATTCCTGACAGGATAATCAATCATGTATTTGGAAAGAATATATGCATGTACCTGAGTCATGGACGCAAATTAGCCGGGTATGGAAAGTTACTTATTGCTTTTTTTCAGGTCAACCTTGTGCAAGCCTGTATTGACAAATACAACTACCTGTTGCTTTGTCAATTAAACCTTGTGCAACCCAACCCCAATGCTTTTCATTAAACAAACCTAATTATCTGCAGTATTTACATACATGTACAACCCCCCATTCCGATGTGACCCCACAGCCTATCAAAGCATGTACTTATCATATTGTGGTTTTTGTTCTAGAGCAAGAGCTTGTTTCACAACTTCCAAATAAGGCAGGATTACTTCCTTTTGACTAATAAGGTAAGCTCGACGCTCCGTCATGACATAGCAGAGATGCGTAGGAGTATTCACCCTATTCATGACGAGGGAGCCCTCCATTCATAAGAACGCTTCCAGGGCAGTAGTGACGTCCCTGCAGGAGTTTCACTTTCAAGAGCTACTTTGGAGAAAAAAACACTTTTAAAGGGGCATATTCCTCTTTGGACTAGGACAGCTAGAGACAGAAGAGAATGGAAATGTTATGAGGAGGGCTTTGTCCAACGTCTGGATGAACTATAGCCTGATAGATAGATAGATAGATTCCTCTTTGCTGTGTTGAAGGGATGTTTGTTTCATGTGAATATGTTTAAAGTTTTGACAATATTTTTTGTTTTACTTTAATTACTAGTTACTGAATCAGGCCGTTCTTTGAAGTTCAAAAAGAGATATAAAAAAAAGTCCTTCCTATTCAAGGTAACCTTTGCAGCTTTTCAGAATAGTTATAGCTATTAAAGTTGAGATTTCCCTAAAGCAATTTTCATTAAAAAATTGGCTGGTTCTCTACAATGCTCTTATAATTTCTGAGCCTTTTCATATTGCTGTTGTGACTGTTTTGTTTTATCTTGTTTTGTTAGCATTCATTAGAACAGAGTCAATTTTCAATCCCATTTTGTTTGCTGTACAGTATCGTGCAAAGGTCTTGGGCCACATTCCCCATACAAACAGTACTTGTAAATTCGCAATGAATAGTGGAGTGCAAAATACCTATTTTCCCATAAAGAGTGACATTTAAATATCATTGCATTGTACATAAAATAGATTAAAGTATTATATTTATGAACTATGAGGTATCTCAAAATGTAATAGTGAAGGGCAAGTATAATCGGTACTAATTAAAGGAGAAACAATCTGATTCACTAAGCTTTTCTCAATAAAGCTGTCCACCTATGGTTGATAATTGTGTTGTAAAAAAATGGACTACTGTACGTGCTATACATGTCCTCGCTTGGCAAACAGGGCAAGAGTGATTCTATTTTCTTGCCCATGGACAAGTTTTGGTTGCCCCGGGCAAATACTTACAAACATAATAGTATGACATCTTGAACGAGACAGCCATAATCAGGCAAAACTTATGCAACATCAGCTTTTGCCAATTAAAATGCAGGTGAGCTTCAAAATCAATTCTAGGGTGTCTACATCCTCTAAAAAAAATGGATTTTGTTTTCCCTTGACTCCCTTTAGGTCCAGGGGCTGTTGCCAAGGGCTGATAAAGATTTCATGTCCCATACGCTCCAAATACGGACCTCGAAATCCAAACATTTTCACAACAGATCGCCTCGATACAAAGGGCTCTCCCCCTCCCTCCCTCCCTCCCTCCACACCCACGCACTTCCTCTCCTTCCTCAATTGTGACGTCATTTCGAGCTCACCTCCAAATAAAGTCTCTATTAAGTCACGATTGCGTCGCCATGGCAATGGGAAATCAATCGTGCTGGGGACGGTAATGCACTCTTGATTGCTTGATAAACTGAGGCAGGACTCGTTTAAGTGTGCTTTAGAAACAAAAAGGTTTGCTTCTTTAGAAAGAATCCTTTCCTTGTCATCCAGCACATCTAGGGCCCATGAAATAATTATCAGCTCTCAATCATTTGTTAAAGTTTATTAATAGTCCATGTAGTAACCTAACATGCAGCTGTGTAGGTGTGCTTTTCCACGAGGCTGCACTGATTTGTTGCAGGTGTCAACAATTTCCATCTAGTTTTAAGTTTCATAGACACATGGCTACATACTGTAATTCAGAGAACAAGATACCTGACTGAATGCTTAAATCATACATGTTTTTTATGAAGGTTTTGAAAGAAATGCTTATGATTTTGTTTATTCTTTATTCGCTGCAGACCGAACCCTAGACTGTGAAATTGTTTTGAGTATGTACATTCCATACAGATTTATATGTGTGACAAAGTTGACTGTGGCAGTACACCGTTTGTTTTATATGTAAACCAAGTATAGACAAAGATTTCATGTATATGTGCTGATGCATTATTGACAAGATTAGATGTGCAGATTGGTCTCATATATATATTATTCCTACTTTAACATCCCAACTAGACTGATAGTTAATTGGTTTTTTTGTCTACTGTAAGAATGTAAACCCCCGTTAATGCAGTCGGTATAAAAACGAAAATAAACTGACATGTCAAAAATTGGAACTCTATGTAACAACAAGAGTTCTAGCAACCTTCTGGCTCTCTTGGAATTTTCGTTCGAAGCTCTTTCATCTTGCCCATACCAAAGACCAAATGAGCTGTAAGCAGTTAAGACTTTATGAGCCTGTACAACCACTGGTCAAACCATCTGGTCAAACCATCGGTCAAACCATCTGTTTGGAGCAAGAAAGGCACTAACTCTATATGAGTTAGAACTCTTACTGCTTTTTTTTTAATTTTTGTTCGACCCTCGTTCATCAAAGACCAACTGAGCTTTTAAGGGTACTATGTCCCTTTTGCAGCCAACCTCAAATTCTGTAGAACTTTGCAGAAATTATGAATATGTCATATATGTCTTATCTGTGAAATTTAAACATTAGCAGTGTCCTCATATTCAAATTATACAAGGAAACCCGTTTACTTGCTAGACTTCACTGTCAGACACTATTGAGTGACTGGCTTTTTTCTTCTTTGATAGTAACATACATGAAAAGAGTTGTAAAGGGTACATGAGCATTTGTCTATATCAATAACCCACTTCTTGTGATGGCCAAGATTAAACTGATTGAATCTTTACGCAGCATAAAACGTATGACCATTCGGTACAATTGTCTGAAAATCAAGACTATTACTTTTGGGCTCTATAGCCCTACAGTCGATTTGACATCTAATGGCCGTTATTTTCCCACTTGAAGACATTATCAAGCCCCACCTTTTTTAGGAAAGTTCTAAATTAGTATTATCTTTCAAATGCAGTTGGAATTTAACTTTTTCATTTTTTTGGCCTGCAAATGGGACATAGTACATTTAAACCACTGGTCAAACCATCTGTTTTGAGCAAGAAAGGCACCAACTCTATTTTAAAATATATGAGGTAAGGCCCTTTTGGCATTCAGCAGATGATACGTTAAGTGAGGTTGAATGATCTTACCGTGAATTCTCCTGTGATGTTATCAAAGCCGACATGGACTGTGTGCTCAAACTTTGTGGGTAGCGAAATCTCGGGTCTCGTTCTTTGGCCTAGGATAAGTCGAAGAAAAAGAAAAGGCAATACAATGAAAAGACAATTGTTAGAAAGACAAATAAATAAAACATTGTAACAAAGATATTTAATCTTTATATCCCTCTGAAATTGTAAGTATAAAATGCATCAAAACTGCAAAATGAAAAGAATTTGTGAAAGTGGGGGATTAAACATGCATTTCTAATAATGAAAAATGTAAAAATGGAAAGTATTTATTAATGTCAAATTATTGATAACATGTACTTTTACCGTCTCTCAGTTTTTTACAATTTACAGGGCTGGGTACTATCCATGGAAACATTTTGATAGTCTGATGGCTTCAAATCAGCATTTGCTGAGGAAAGGAATATTTCTCAAATACATATTTATCCATAATATATGTACAAAATGATGAAAAAACTTGATTATAACAATTCAGTATTTTGTATGAAACCTTCACTCTTTATTCTTAACTTCCAGGATGAAATATGGAGAATCACAGCTACTGGCACTTCCACATGTACATGTAGTAGCTCTGAAAAAGTGCACTGAACTCATATCAGGGCAACAACAGGTCCTCACCCTCAGATTTTCCATTAGCAAATTTTCTGCATCAAATCTTTCAAGATTTCTCTCTCTTGCCTGAATGCAGTAACGTTTTACTATCCATGAGGCACTTACATGAGAGTACCCCTTTCAGTTGATAATTAGTTTGGAAATCCCCTCCCCCCCCCCCCCCCCCCCCCCCCCCCCCCCACCCTCTTCCTGTCTTCACAAAATATTATCACTAAGATCCATTTAATTTGGTTGACCTAAAACAAAATCCTGTCCATATATTTAGTACTGCCTTTCGGGAAGAAATTTTGCAGAGAAAAAAATGGAAATTAATAATATTATCGTGTACTACAAGACTTTGGACAGTTATTCCTGATTATGTCACTATTGCCAGACTGAGTTGCCAATTTGAGATTCATATGGATGTAGTGATCTCATTTTTCAAGCATTCACAACTTTTGTAAATACTTTGTAAATAATTGTCTGATTTCTTTCATCATCCCCTTTCTCCTAATTTTGTTATTTCAAGAAATTGACTAAGGTTTGGTTACTCTTTAAAGAGAAGGTTGGGGATGGGTAAAAGTGAAAAATAATTTGTTAGCTTTCTTGTTCTTTCCATGTTAATTTGGAAGGATATCATAGTAGAAATGTTCCTTATAAAGGGTTGCTTTACAAATGCCATCATAATAGAAGTATGAAGAGAAAAAGCTGACAAGTTTGGACCAAACTGTCATGCCACATGCGTGTGTAGTCCCATATGTCTATTTTTGTGTGCAGTGCTTGTGATTTTCAGCCAGATTGAGTAAATTTCTTTTCATTTTGGTGATTCCAGAACCTTATAGCACACGCCAATTCTTAAATGTTCTACATGATCCACCTTTCCCCATTTCTTCAAGACAGTTCCAAACGTTTGGTTTCTTTCACATTGTAATTATATGACCAGGGGGGTGTTTCACAAAGACCAAAATCGACTTAAGTTGGACTTGAAATAAGGCAGCCATTCATGGCACTGGTTGCTCTCACCATTAGTCTCTCAAGGGACATCAGAAATCTAGGGAATTCACATAATGTTGATACTTTATTATTGAAGGAAAAAATATTATCTGAAGATCAAATCTTACATCTAGTTCAAGACAAGGGCATAAAATTGCCTGCCATTGTTCAAGTCCAACTTAAGTCGATCTTAGTCTTTGTGAAACACTCCCAAGAAGTTAACTTGATCTTTCACGATGTTTGTGTTTGCTTAGAAACCTACCCTTCTCATCACTCTTGCCACCCTTAAGTATATTCTTCATCCATTTTGGTCCTTTCTTCTGTTCCTCTGGGGGCGTGTTGGGGAGGGGCTTGGAGCCGGGATTCATGTTGTCAAAGCGGGCGTCGCGACTGTTGCTGCTGGAAACTCGAACGGGTGGTGCGGGCGGACTATCGGTATAACTCTGTGGATCCGACCACTGTGCGCTCATTTTTGGCGGACCTGGTGGTAGAAATTAAGGAGATGAGAAAGAGAAATGTATTAGTTAGTAATTGTTGGAATGTACAGCCTATTCTTTGCATGTCATGATATCCATTTTTTAATGACAAAACACAGCACAAGAAAACGTTTAACTTTTCATTTATCTACATGTACCTTTTCAACGTGAAGACTATTTTACAGCGTTAAACAGCCATGGTCCCTCTTTCAAAGGGGTACCAACTAAAAAATGACCTTAATTAGATAATTGTCTTTTCTGTATATAACATAACAAATTGTGCAAGGCACTGTCAAATTGCTTTTCTTTTACATACACCCGGCCCCCCCCCCACTCAGTGTTATTTAGGATACGCATATGCTCGTACCCTCTTTTTGAAAGCACCCCCTATCTGAGGACTGCCAACATTTCTGAACCCCCTTTCGCGGGCTTTTCGCGGGCTTTTTTTGCATTGGAGACCCCCTAAATCAGAAAAAATGCTCAATGTACCCCCCTAAATTCGGAATAATTTCTCAGGAGTCCAAAGAGATGAGAGAAAAAAAGAAAAACACCCCCTTTTTAAAGAAATCTCCGGGTGAAAAGTCAAATACACCCCTTTTCTTACAATTCTCGGGCCGGACTTTGTCGCACGAAAAGTACCCCTTTACCGGACATTTTGGCAACACGCATGCGGTCATTCCGACCTCTGAGTGGGGGGCCGGGTACATACACACTCTATATGGTATTATATTTCTACAGAAAATTCAAAATTACCCCTTTTTCTTGGAGGGTTAAAACTACTCCATTCTGTCAAAGGTTATTAAAAGTAAGCCTCTTTTATAATTAAGATTACTAGTATGAAACAACAAAGAAAGGATAAAGAAAAGAAATGTGACAATGCAAAGACAATTCCATGAAAGTGTTTGATCTATTCTTTGAACTAAAATCTGCTGTTAAACGATTCTTTCTCCATTCCTCGAAGAATAAGTGAGAAATAAAACTGACCCCACACAATCAGGGCTGTTACATGTACATCAAAAAGCCATTTAATTCTCTTTTCTGATAAACTTGGCACCGGCTAGAGAATCCAGGACGAATGTCCTCATGCATTATGTAAAGTCAAGGAGGCCCGTCGAACGAGGGTAATGATCTACATTATAAGCGTGCTAGAATGATTTCCCTTTCATAATAGCATGGTCACAATCTGCCATACGTATTTTCACCTGCCATGACAATCAAGCTACATGTACAGTACATACAGTTAATAATAAACTGAGTTCTGGTAAAAAAAGAAAATGAATTCTCACAGAATCAAACGAAACTTACACTGAATGTTCAAGAGTACAAATAAATGTCCTTTGCCAAACAATTTTTGTAGAAAAAAATGTATACTGGCTGAGTAATGAGCATAGAAAGATAAGGAAATCAAGGTTAGTAGACACCATTTGTGTAGTCCCATATACATCTTTCTGTGTATTACTTTACCAAGACTGGGTCAAATTTAATATGATTTTGATGACTCCAGAACCTTGCAGTACACACCAATACTTACATGCTACATGATCAACTTTTTCTGATCCATTCCACACCTTTTCTTTCACAATGCAATCGCATGAGCGGAACAACTAAATTATTCATACCCCTTGTAAGTTTTGATGATTTTTAAGTGTTTTTTTTTCTTCATAACTCAAGAATGAAAGGTGTAATGGTTAATGAGGGACTTTGTTGAATACTTTTAAATGTAAGCTTTAATATGTCACATTCTCAAGAAACATAAAATGGGACATGTCATTTTCCACATACTTACATAATTACAAAACTTGGTAAGGGTATGAATGATTTAGTTATTAACTGTACATGTAGATGAACAATTGTTCCATGTTTTACTTTCTCAAATTTTCACAAAGGAATTGTGGTAAAGTGTCAAATTAGAGTTTATTCTTGCAGACTATATCAAAACAAAGTCACAACCTTTGAATAAGGGGGCTAACATTAAGTGCTATATTTCTTGACATCGGTTTCTGTTTTGACTACCGGTACCTAATTCTGATTTCCATGTCTCTTGTACAGGACAGTACATGTGTTCACATATTCCTCTCATAATAAATGAGATACTTAGTGACATAATAAAGAGGTCGTCTATTTGAATATCACATTTCTTGACGGATGATCTAGTTCCAAACATTATGGAAGGATGTATTTACATGAACTACAATGAAGTGTATTGTACACACACAAAAATGGGTAGAAGTTTCTGCCAGTGTCATTTCCTACATGTGTAATGTGAAGGCAAAAATTTACTGCTAAGAAATATAAAAAAGGCTTGTTAACCCCTAAACCGCCATTCCAATATTTCAAACATCTGCTAAACTCTTGCCCACCAAAATTAGGCTTTCTTGCGCTATAATCCATAACTGGATTTGCTAATCAATGTACTGTATGCATTAGATATCCGTTTGTAAACCTATAAAATATTACATCTTACCTACAAATATTCATAAGCAAAATGTTCAAATATCGGCAAACAAAAAAATGTGCTCGTATGCCAACAATTTCTGTACCACACTTGATCACTGGTTTCGCAAATCTATGTAAACATTGCTGTGTCCATTTGCAAAATGTGCAAAAAAACAACAACAACCATAGATCACATTTAAAGCACAAACATAAGCAGCGCATAGCCCATACACATGTAGAAAATTATGATTTATGGTCTAGTTGCAATATGCAGGAAGTGAAAAGTACCTGGAATAGGCCAAAATAGTACCTTAAATAATATCACATTTATAACCCCTCCATTTATAGTTATCACACCAGGATATAGTCCAGGAATTACAAAATGAAAATAGGAACTGATCATTTATAGTCTCTACATTTTGCAGGAAGAGAACAAGTACCGGTACCTGGAATAGCCAAAATAAATTTCATGAAAGGGTATTCTTTCTGATGGACTAGGGTTATCAACATCCTGAATACAAGAAGCTAGACGTAATATATTCAACCACTTGGGCTCGTTCAGACACAATGCCACAAACTACCTCAAAATGCCTGTCTTCATCAGCTCAAACGATACGCTCATCAAAAACTAGCTTGGACGGGCGCAAATTATCCCGCTATTTCCCAAATAGCAGGATATTTCGGAAACGAGACCAAGATTTTTTGGATATTCTCTCGACCAAATATCCTGCTAATTGCAACTGCAGCCTGATGAAGATTGATAAACTGGTTAATTTGCGATTGGGATATTTAAAACAGTGGGTTATTTGGCAAACTCGAGCTGGTGAAGGCAGGCCTCAGGTAATTGCCCAAGCAAAATAAAAAACATTTTACGTTTAAATGAATGACAGATAGGGGTGACAAAAGAAGCTGCATGAACGTAGTCTCCTGAGCTTTCTCATTTACTCTCCATAGTAAGATACAGAAAAGAAGCTTGCTTGCACATCATCGTTTTAAAACGTGGTTTACATGTCATGTGTGAACAGCACTTGAATGGCCTCCCATCTTACCATGTTGAAGATGGTGGTGATGATGATACATGATGGTATCCTAGGGAACCGCATTCAGACGAGCGTGTGCATGGAATATAACCGATTTAACCCGAAATGTCTAGTTTCCCTCGTAGGGTTGACAGAAACTTGTTTCTCCACGACTCAAAATATAGTTATTGGCCTTTCTGAATTATATTGGTCTGTCTGAATGATGAAAGGCTGTTAATTCAAAAGTATACAGTGTTTTGTATGATCATTCTTCAAATCATATCAAATTGAACGTTTCAAGAACATAGATCCACGGATAATGGGAACACACCAAATGTTCAGACTGAATGCTTGGATTGAACTTCACAGGTCAAAAGCAGAGCACCGTTGAATCAGCGAGTGAGAACACAATAGATGATTGCATTAAAGGGTCACATCAACCAACAATAATTCACTGCCATTCATGGAAATCCTAGATATTATCCTCCAGGCTAATTAAACAGAAGCCTTGTGGTCACGGTTCAATGGAACTTATTCCTCAGATGCAATTTTTTCTTTCTCTACATGTAAATGAGAAAAAGCATGACAAATAAACAAAAATGCAGCGACTTGAGAACAAACTGTAGTTCACTTCAACCGGAAGTCTTCTAAATGTCAATATCGAACTTAGAGAGAATGAGAGAGAGAGAGAGAGAGAGAGAGAGAGAGAGAGAGAAAGAGATAGAGAGACAGAGTACAGCAATACCACCTTGATGTTCCTTTCACGATCTCAAATCTAAAGCACGACAATACAAGCACAATCCAACTATAGGGCGCAGGCATGTGTATTAAAAGAAGCGTGTGTACATTTCTAACTTCCTCTTTCACTAGCACCGAGTATGACTATGATCTGCATTGGCCGGTTAGTATCTATTTCATAGCAAGGCCCCTTATGCATCTTGATCCCCCCAATGCAGCGACAGTGGGAGAGATTAACAGTCGGCTGTCACAATGCCTGTACAGTCATTATGACTGGAACGAACGGGCGAGGGGACGCAAGGGGGAGGGTGGCACAAGGAGGAAGGGGCAGGGGCACAAGGGAATAAAATGGGGGGGGGGGGAGGGGGGAGGGGGTGGTCATTTACAATTCATGAGGAAGCTATGATTGCACTGGGATTTTCAGTTTCAATAATTAATTCAGGATTGCAGAAACGTGTTCATGAAAGCCACTTATTAATGATACTGTTCAAACATGTCTACATGTACAGATCAAAGGCCTCTCTGCCCGGAGTTGAAATTAAGATTTGCCATGACGATAGTAATTGTTCATATATTCTACGTTTCAAGTTCTTCTTAGTAAATAATAGCAATTCAGCAGTATGTCATCATTCACTGTACAGGGTATCTTTCAAAATATTACGTCACATTTAGATGTAGAATTCTGACTTTTAAATTGTGTAACCCTGTCCCATTTACCGGTACAAATTAACTTGATCAAAGTAGTGCTTCATGGTAACTATCGTTTTGTCCATAGGGTCTAGACTCAAATTTGTAAGGCATGTGTGTGCATG